AGACATTGTGCAAAGTATGCTTATGGGGCGATAATTACCGATTTGGGTTCTGTTCTCTTTTTTTTTATAAAGAGGCATGACCTTTACCGCTTTGATGTCCTCAGGAACTATATTTGTACTGATTGATAAGTTTATTATGTGGTTACTGGAATTTTCAAGATTTCAGCGCCATCTTTTATTAATCGAGGCGGTATTGTATCGGGACCCGTACTTTTAGAATAATTAAGGTTTTTTTAATTCATTATAAATAAAATCCTCATCAACTGTATTAAGTATAAAGTTGTTTCCATTTACATTTTTATAGAAATCTTTACGTTTGGTTGATGTACATGCATATATATTCTTGGGCGATGGAAGTTTATTTAGCAAATTGGTAGCAATGGTCGTAAAATAGGCCTATTCGTTGAAACAAGAAGCAATTTGGCTGGGTCAAAACATTTGGTGCTGTCATATAAGTCGATAACAGTATTGGCACTATCTTATTTTTGTTACTATAGCCTTAGTAAGCCTTTAAAGATTTTCCATTGTTTTTTTGGATCAATTTCATTTTCCTCAACTTTGTTTAATAGATAATTAGATTTAGCTCTATTTACATCACCACGTTGAATTTTATTTCGTAATTTACGGTATTGTATTAATAATTCAGTGTTATTTTTATTTTTATTATACTGTTTTAATAGTTTATCTCTAGTTTCAATATCTTGGAGAATTTCTCTAGTTAGCCAGGGCTCTGTTCTTTGTTTTGATCTAATATTTTTAAGAGGGGCAATAGAATCAATAGCAGCCAAAAGTAATTCATTAAATTTATGTAGGGCTTCATTAACATCGCTTATAGATGAAACCATTGTCCAGTCAATATCTTCTAGTATGTGTATGAATTGGTCGACAGTATAGTTTTTAAGAGATCTAATAGGAATGTTTTTATGTGCATTAAACCTATATTTAGTAATTTTACGAGTACAAAATATCATTAGGTGATCGCTTAGACCTTTTGAAATAGTACCTGATTGACTTATCGTAGTATCATTGTTGCATAATATATGATCAACACATGATGAAACCGTAGGACATATTCTAGTCGGGTCAGCTATAATATTACAAAAATTAAATAAATTTAGGATTTGGCTGTAAGTGTTAAATAAGGAAGATTTTTTTCAAGGCACATATATTGAAGTAATCTACAACAATCAATTAAGTACTATCTACTCTAATTTTAGTTAACATTTCTTAAAGAGTTAAAAAGTTGGTTTGTTTAGGTGGTCGGTAGCAAGTTCCAATTGTAATCGGTCGACATATAGGCAAGTGCAATTCAATCCAAAGGACTTCAGCATCGTCGGATTCAATATCTAAACGCCGGTTAAAAAGTCATTCCTGATATACATACACCGCCTTTGCTGAATATCCTTTTCTATTTTAATTCTGTTGTCAGATACCGAATCATCAATTCGTGTTTCGTTAATAGAGATAAACAAACATTAGATTTAAATGCGATGTAGCGAAGTTCAGTAAGTTCTGGAATCAGTGATCTCGTAATAGATGCAAAATATGTGTTCCTTTCCGTTTGAATTGCGTAAAATCTTTTTCAGCTGCGTTGTAATTAAATGATGGAGGAGATCGCGTTTCTGTATCATCATTGAGGTGTTCACAGGAGTTAAACGGGAGATGTTTCCAGGAACATTCATCGCATACATATTTTAAATCAATTTCATTATTAACAGTGTGGTTATATCTTCTTGGAGACATAAAAACATAAGTACATTTAATATGGGTCCATCATAGTGCGATAATTTTTTAGTTGATGTAAATTGTAAAGCATTATTGAAATCTTTTGATGTGCATTATCCAAATAGATCGATCCTGAGATTAAGATGTAATCTATTAAACAAAAACAGGTAGAAACCTCTATAAAAATACCTTTCATAGTTTCCGCCATCGGGCACGAAATCAGGTGATCACCGAGAAATTCCGGAATTCCAATCACGACAAAAAAAAAAAAAAAAAAAAAAAACAGGTTTAAAACATTAAAATCACATTTGATTTCACAAAAATTGAGATACGTAAGTTTAAAATATAATGATCAGCAATTTCTATCCACAGATCCAATTGAAAAGAGATATTTTAGTGTTCCATCGAACGTTAGGCTTGAGGTGTTGAACTTCAAGTTGAACTCTCACAGGCGGGATTTTTGAATTGTCACTGCGAGTAGTGCCGATCTAGATGTTTTCAGCTGCGTTTTGCCAAAATACACCAATATCAAACATATATATATATATATATATATTCCAAAAAATGGACAATGAAAGAAATTGTATTCAAATTTTAAGTCTGATAGTGCTAATTCCAGTCATGATCAGTTGCATACCCGTGACACTGGGTGCTTATTTATTTTTGTTGTAATTTTTACAGAATAACCCTTTCACATGGGTTTAAAAATATTTGTCTAAATAACAAAACTATGACGGTTTGTTTCTTAAGGTGATTGCAAGGAAAAATGTATGTCAGACCTAAAACTTGCAGCAGTAAACAATACTGCATTTAACTTGAGCGTAAAAGAACTAAGAAGTAAGGAGGTAAGAATATGGTAAATCAGTAGCTAGGTTTATAACATTTTTAGATTATTGTATTATTGTTATTGTCATCATCATTATTGTTATCACCATCATCATTGTCCTCATCATCATTATTTTCATCATCATCATCAAAATTCTCAACATCATCCTCATCCTCGTCACAGAGGGCCATCTTCTCGTAGGTCAAACTCCACGGCAACCGGACAGCCTTAATATTTGGTTTTGAGATCGATGATTGATGATGCACGTTGAATACAGCTTAGAGTAATATTTTAAAGAAGAGATATTCAAAATTAATTTTCTTTCCTATATCATCAGTTCTGTCTACCAAGTGTAAGTGCAAGTAAATAAAAAATTTCATTCCAACACTTTCTTTGATTATTATGTATCATTCCACTAAATTTTATGATGATCTATTTCTTAGTTTTTTATGCGTAATGTTGCTAGCAGACAGACAGACAGATGGAGGGGAACACAACCTCCTTGGGTGGAGGTAATAAGAATCAACAATGCACGCTATTACCCTATATCAACCCACCTCCCCATGATTCATGGTAAATATTCATTATGTGCACGTTTCTCAATTACAGCAGTGTATTCAGAATGCTGTAGATACGTCATGGATTCTTCAAATGAATGACACTGAAGCTGGAATTTCTCTAAATTATTCCGTAAAATGTCAGCAAGGCTGCCAGCATTGCAATGATGAATCCCTTCGACCACGTAAGTCTAATACCAAAATTTACTTTATAAAAAGACCTGGGAAAATAATTACAATAGTCCTAATGTTAATAGTATTGCTTCTATATATGAAACCGCCCACATTTTTCAGGGTACCAAGAGTGGTCTCAAATTAGAGGGCAATCTGCATTGGCATTTAAAAGAGCTGTGTGCCAGAAGACAGATACAGTACCCAGAGACTTGAAATATTAAAAGTGGTCATGTACAATACTGTATATATTTTGTAGATCCTCCACAAGAGATTACTTACAGATCAACGACTGGATCAGACTTGTGTGTCAGGTGGAAAGGAAATGTATCAACAGATTATACAATGTATTATACCCAAGGAATGTAAGTTGAAATAATGATGATGATGCTATTCTGCTGCTGCTGCTGATGATGATGATGATGATGATATTGACGATGATGATAATGATATTTCTATGCACCTGAAAATAGTTTTTCGTTGAAGAGCTATGCTAATATGATCATGACATCAAGTGTAGGCCTAAAGTACATTCAAGCACCTTTATTGGCTTTTCTTCCCCGCACCAGCTTAAATGTCAATTTTTACTGCTGATTTTATTTCTGCTTCTATTCTGTTTCATATTTTTACGACAGGGTTTTTCTGTCGGGCATTTTGGTCACTTTCCATGCTTGGATCTTCTTCAAACATTGTCCAAGTAAAGACCTTATCAAAGATGTGCATATTAAAATATGACGTCATTCTATAACATAAATGGATGGACAAAGTATTTTATGAATTCAATTTTTATTTTCAAAATCGTTTTAAACTAGCTGCAACTATGTTAAATGTGTGTGGGTTGGGGGTTCTACAGCCTACATTGTATAAGTTCCTGTTGTTCTGTATTTTGTACTTTTCTCTTGTTGGTATGAAAAACAAATTGAGCTATTTTCTGTCAGGAAGAATAAAGTAAAACTTGAACCCAATCTTGAATCTTGGATTTTTACTCTTAATCAAGCGGTATGATGCCTTGATAGCGAGATGTTGCAGGTTCAAATCCTGTCAGAAGTACCTTTTATGTCTTTCGTTGATGAGCTACTTCTACGATCATAATAATATCATTCTTATATTCACTGTAGTTACTAGTTATTTATTTGTTAATATAGGTCAATAAAATAAAATAGTGATAGAAACAGCACTCGACGGAACAATAATGGAAAGATCGTATTGGCATAGCCTATCCACGAAAACCTTCCTTATGGATTGTTTGGGAAAATGCTCCTAGCTGAAACTGAACCACTAATACCACTGATAACCCACTGTCATAGGGAGTCTTACCACACAAGCCCATGATAGTACTGTATATTGTAAACACAATTAAACCAAGGACAATTTTCGAGCAGATATACACCCTGACAACGTGGGGCGGAGGGAAACTAATGACTGAATCTGCGCCAGGATTCGCCCAACAGGGAATCTGAGGTTCCCGTCGAGGTGGGAGGGGGGACAATGTACCCGACGAGAACAAAGTGGGCTTGGTCGGGCGTTACTCAAAGTATTTTTAAAGTGGTCCAGGGGTGTAGAAAATACATATAATGATAATGACGGTGATGGTGATGATAATGGTGAGAATGAGGGCAGTGTTTGTGGTGGTGGTGTTTGCGTGAAGATGGTGATGAATGAGATCTAAAGGTTTGGATGATCCATTATTTTATATGTATTGTGTATTTGTATATTTACAGAGGATACTGTTCAGATGAGTACCAACAGTGCATAGCAGATAGGTCAGAGAACAGATTTTTTGAATGCTGCCCACAAAATCTTCATCCGGTTGCTCCTATTTACGTGAGGATAAATTATGAAAACAAATATATGTATGTGAATGGTACATTATACTGGTTGAGAGCTCAGACTATAGGCTGTCTCTTATACACATCTAGATGTGTATAAGAGACAGCTATAACATTAATGGATGGACAATG